GATTGAATCCCCCTGCCGCTTATTCACCCTGCGGTCTGGAGCCACCCACTAGTCTCTGATCCTCCCTGGTCTCTCTCCTCCTGCCCCAGGACATCTGTGCTTTTATTAAACAGTCCTTGGGGACCTGTGTTGGTATTTGAGTGGCATGAACCAGGCTTAAAGTGAGATTAGAGTGTGATCCCAGGTTTACCCCTTGATGGCTATATGATGGTGGGTGAGTCATATTTCTTCTCCCCTGAGTTTCCTCATCTATAAAATGGACAAATGCTGGTGCCTAGCTCTTACGTCATTGGAAGAACCAGTAAGCCAATGATCAGGACAGGACTTACCCAGTCCATGCAGGAGGCCCTAAAACCCCGATTTCGCCACAGAACCTCATGGCAGACGCCTGGGCAAGGGTGAGCCACCCCCACCTATGGTTTCTGGAACCCACTAGACTATACTTCCGGGATCTGTGGCAAGGCGAGTTACTTCCTGAGTCACCTTCCTCATCTGTATGATAAAAGTAGTAGAACTGGCCTTGAAGTGGGTGGGGTGGGTTGAGAATGAGAGATGCAAGAGGTAAGCAGGCCACATCCCCACAGGGGTTCCAAAGCATAAGCCTTGTCAGAGAACCTAAGGGGATTTCACAGGAGAGTCCAGATTTCTCGCTTCTCTGGAGGATCTTCCCACTTGCTCCAGAGTCTGCATGCACTCAGGAAAGGTTTTTCAGGTTAGGGGGAGATATGTTGTTGGCCTCTGGCCCTGGGGAGAACCAGAGGGGCTGTGGGCATTTACTAAAGTTTGTGCATGAGAGAAGACAGGGCAGGGATTTCCTGGCCCTGTAGCATGAAGCAAAGGTCAAACTGAGAGCCCCTTCCTTGGGTACCCACCACCCAGTGTGGGCTAGGGTAGGGGGCATCCCCAGGAGATAGCCTTCTCCTGTCCTGACAGGTCAGGAGGCCCCAGGAGGTAGGCGGGCTGTGGGCTGAGCCCTAAAGGTTGAGCAGAGTTTTGCCAGAGGTTAGTAGTAGAGGGGGTTGAGGATGTTTTAGGCAGAGCAGATGATACAGTCAGAGGCTTAGTGGCTTCTAAGTAGGTATCTGGAGCGTGGCTGAAGAGTTACTTTCTGAGGGTGGGGAATGGGAAGGTTTCTAACTGTGTGTTCTGGGACAAGTCATTTCACCTCCTGGAGCCACAGATCTTCACCCATAAAGTGAGGCTAGTGGTATCTGCCTCCCAGTGGAAGGCTGGATATTAGTGCCCTTAAAAATTCTGAATTTCCTGTGCTGGCCAGTGTAGCTCAGCGGTAGAGTGTAGGCCCTCACACTGAAGGGTCTCGGGTTTGATTCCCAGTTAAGGGCACATACCTAGGTTGCAGGTTTGATCCCCAGGCCCAAGTCAGTGCATGTGTGGGAGGCAACCAATCGATGTGTCAACACATCGATGTTTCTCTCTCTGTCTCTCTCTGTCTCTCTCTCCCTACAATGAAAAAAAATATCCTTGGGAAGGATTAACAACAACAACAAAATTCCTTCAGGCCAGAGAGGAGTGTTGAGTGATGGATTGTGGCACAGCTGTGTGCAAATTAAGTGGCATGAAGTGAAGGCCAGGGTGCACTGAGCTCTGAGTTCAGAGATAGGGGAGTTCAGTACAAGCTGAAGACTTTGCAGCTTCCTGTAAGAGGTGAGATGGGAGCAGGGTCTCAAAGGGCAGAGAAGAGGGGTGGAATGGTAGAAAGAAAGAGAGAGGGTATCCCCAATAGGAAGGTGGCAGGCAAGGAAGGCCAGAAGGTGCTCCACCATGGTTGTGGGAGAGGGTTGGGTAGAGGTGAGCCTGAGAAGTTTGGTGGGGGAAGCTTAGTGAGAGCACACCTGAAGGCCAGGCAGCAGGTTCTATCCCTGCACAGCAAGCAAGGCGTTGCCTTAACAATGTAGGCACCTTTGAATGTGGGGAGGATTTTTTCATTGCTTTTGCATAGTGGGAAAAACAAAAGGTTGGAAGGGTCATGGAAGAAGAGAGAGGTGATAAATGGTTAGAAAATGCCATCAATCACCCTGTACATCCCCATCTATTCTCATACACACATACTGTTAACTGTGATGGAGAGAGTTTGGCTTTTCAGGTACCATCTGTAGTAATGCATCATGAACTTGATCTCCTGTGCCTAGAGATCTGCAGGCAGTACCATCTTCAGTCATTGTGTTGCTGGCTGTATGTACATCCTCGATGCTAAACAACACTTCGATAAACATGTCAGTTCCTCAAACTTCTGTATTTTTCCATTGGATACCTTTCCTAAAGGGGGATTTCTGACTCTAAGAGATCAGAAGTTTTTAAGGCTTAAAAGACTAAAACCATACTCTTTGACAGTAATTTTCTTTAGACTTTTCAGTAGGTTAAACTGTATAGGGTTTTTTAAAAACAGCAAATGTAGCCCTGGCCATTGTCACTGAGTTGGTTGAGTGTCATCCCATGCACCGAAAGGTTGCTGGTTCAATTCCCAGTCAGGACACATGCCCTGGTTGCTGGCTCAATCCCCAGTAGGGGGTGTGCTAGAGGCAGCTGATTGATGTTTTGCTCTCACGTGATTTTTTTTTTTCCTCTCTCCCCTCCCTTCCTCTCTCCCTAAAAATAATTTTTCAAAAATATTTAAAAAATAAAGTAAAAGAGCAAATGTACAAAACCATATACAATAAAAAGTCTATCCTCCTGACCCAGTGGTCTCTTCCAGTTCTCCCTGAGGACAATTGTCCATTTCCTATATATCCTTCCAGAAATATTCTGCAGGTATTGTATATATCTAATTAAAAATATAGATATTGTTATAGCATCTTGCTTTCAATTTTTATTTTTAAATTTTTTTAAAAAAAGTATACCAGAGAAGCATAGGAAATGCCCCCCCCCCCC